ATGTGTAATCTTGTGTATCAACCTTACCTGTTTTTACACTTATACTTTGGAGTGTTCTGCGATGGCATTACGCCAACGAATATGATCAGCTAAATACTGCGCTTGTCTGAAATGGCCACATAATAGCCACTGCAAGTAACATTAATAATCAACAGCTAAACCAGGGCTCTGCAAAGCTAATATTTTTGCTAATATTTGTGCGGCACGCGACATATTTCTAATCTACCACAATTGAGCGTTTTTTTCTTTGTTATATTTTATTAACATCACATTATTTTATTTTTATGGTATCCCAAATAAATAAATTAAAATGTTTTAAATAATTTATTACACTTCAGGTTAATTTAGCTAATTGACAAAGATTTAACATATAACATTAGATTAAAAATATAATATACTTCATATCACAACAACTAATATTAATAATGCTAATAGTGATAAAATTGTAAATGATAAATTGATGAAGAATTATTAAAACTAAATCTTTCATTACCGTCGTGTTTTTATTTTTCTCTGGACAAATTATGAACGTCTGTTTTTATTTCTACGACCTTCCAACCTATTCAATGATTTGTATTGGCCCACGATCTTATCTGTTCTGGACGGCCCTGACCTAAACTAACTGAAAATTCTCAACAATGAAAACATATTATAATTACGCAAAAGTTGTATAAAATTGTATACCACTATCTTTAAATTTTTTTTATATTTTTTTCTGTTTTTTTACTTACTTATTTACTGATCTACCAAGAATTATCGTCATTATTTAAAGAAAACTAGTGTCATATCATTCTTATCTATTGGATAAGTTAGATAAAAACCTAGATGCTAAATTTATACATCGGCTTTAGGTCTATAAATCCGAATAATACTTCTGATGATTCCCACAAACTTCGTTCTTCGTATCCTATTATTAACTATCTGTCATTAAGTAACTTATTTATTTATTTTACAACAATGTTAGGCAAAGAAACAAGTCATAGATGATAAATCTAAAGAGACAAATTTCAGGTAAGACAACATAACATAGTAATGTTACTAATACTGTTAAACTTTTTTTAAAGTAAATAGTCTGGATTGATGAATGCTTACGATACTCATCAACAGACATTTACTTTGAATGCAGTTTTAGCGCAAAACAACAAAAGCTTAAAAGAGGATAACAAATTAAACACACACATATACAATATTTAATAAATGTCTAATAATAACTAAAAAAAATATACATCGTCCCGCTTATAGTATTTCGAAAATAATTTATAAATTTTTAACAACACTTTGAATTGAAAACATCATTATTTAATATATTATTTAATTTGTTTCTCATAGTTCGCCAAGAAAATGAGCGTATGATGAAAGAGGCCATGGATCGTGCAAGGTTCGGTAAAAATTATACAGACACTTCATCGATTATAACCTCACCAGGACTTTCAATTACACACCATCAACAGATTCCATAACAAATAAGTATATTTGACCGTAAAAGGAAATTAGATTTCCCTAAACGACAACACCTGATAAGTGAAAATCAGGGCAGTGGAGCGGGGGAAATAATACAAGCAGAAGAACTGAAACAAATAAGCAACGATGAACCGAACATTTTGCATAAAGCATTCACAAAGTTACTAACATATTTCAAAGCAACCACAATCAGAGAATTTCAAGATACAACAACAGCAGCATTAACAGCAAATGCAGTTAATACAACTACCATTACAACAACAATAGCACGCACACAAGCCACATCATCAGCTTCCACAACCCTAACAGCAACAATAATAGCAAAAACAAAAACAAAAACAACGACATCAACAAACGGAAACAACAACAATAACAACAACAGCAACAGCAAAAGCAACAAATATGGCAAAACCAATATCAGTGAAAATGTGAAATACAATGAAATGAACAGCAACAATTACATTCGCAACAGCAACAAAAACAACGCTAGTAACAGTAACAGCCAGAGCAGCAGTAACAGCCCAAGCAGCAGTAACAGCAGTAGCAGCAGAAGCAGCAGTAGTAACAACAGTGGCAATAACGGATATGCCACTGCATTAACATACAAAGAGGAGGAAATCGTTGACTTGATGTTGATAAGCGAAAATTAAACACGAAACTTGTAGTGCTGCCAACTGCAACGAATTCACAGCATTCAAGTTAAGCGGCAAAGCAAGTGTAGAAATTCATTTTCTAAACAATTTGTGAAATTTTTATTGCATTGATAACACAAATAGCAAACTACAAATGTAAAAAAAAAAACAAAATATGTTGTAATAAATTTTTTTGTATTTATTGAAAAATAAAATAATAAAATGCTACAACGGAAATATCTTAGATATTGGAGCAAAATAAAAATGCGAAACTTGTAGATGTAAAATATGTGCACAAAACTGAATTATGTAAAAATATTTTGTTTAATAAATTTAAATAGAGATTTTAAAGTATCAGATGAAGAACAAACAATTTTTATAAAATCAAAAAAAAAACAGTTACTTAGAGAAATAATTTCTGCTATAAAGTTATTACTTAAAAAGTATTTTAAAGATACTTTGAATTTTTTTATAATATATTAGATTATTTTAGTTATCAAATTTAAGTTCATTTTTTTATTATTTAACATATTTTATGCTATTTTAGTTATGAAATTTTAAATTAAATTGTTTAGTATTTCAAAATTTTTAAATTATATTATTTTTAAATGAAAGATTTTCTGACGATAATATACTATAAGCAATATAATTTATTTCTAGTTATTTTTAACATAATGTGACAGTTAACAGCATTTTTAACTATTGTGTTAAACTGTTAATTACATAGTACAAGTACATTGTTTATCGGTTTAATGAATTGTTTTAAAGTAAGCATTGTGTATTAAAAATAATTAATTCAAATTCAGAGAAAATCATTCAAACAGTAGTTTTTTTGAACAGTAGTGAACTACAACAACAAAAATTCATTTTATATTATTTTCATCAATAGAATTTTTGGCTGACCATATAGCTGTTTCGAGTATTGCCAAATACCCATTATGGTTGGTCTTGTATATAACTCCAAGACCAGATATACAGATAAATAAATTCATGACATATGCAGTAATTTTGATACCAGTGGTAGTCTGTTGGAATGGATACAGAACTTTACGCCTCTAAGATATTTAGATTTTTTGTAACCGTTTCTATTAATTTTAAAGAAATAAAAAAAGAAACTATAAGCAAAAAAATGAAACAGTGCTATGGAAATGTTTTCTTTGCAACGTCACAAATTGTCAATTAATAAACATTATACAATGAGGTCTAGAAAAAATGAAAATTTGATGCTTTGTTTTGTGATCGTACTTACTTCTTCGAAACAAAAGTCACTCAAGAATTCTTATTATATCTGTAGTGAAAATTAAATTATTAAATGATTTTTATTTTATTCATTAATAATATGCATTTGTTGAAATTATTTACTTATTTAACTATCAATAACATTTATTCTTGTTAACTGCATTAATAGTTCTTTCACGAAACTCAATATTTTCAGAGTAAAAAAGTATTAGTATGAACAAGTATGAACAAGTATTAAAAATCAACATTAAATTAATATAGAGAAAATGATATTTTAATAATTCCATTCCTGAAATTATATCAAATGAAGTCTAATATTGACTTACAATAAACCGGTAAAGAAAATTGGTTTAAAATATTGTAAATTTAACACAAATTTTAAATGAATCGGCAATGATGCGTGTTTATACCTGGAAAATAAAATCACTATATTTACTATGTTTTTCCCCGAATTAATGTAGTAAAATATTTAATGATATTTCCCTGTAACATTCGTTCTCTGTTTTCTTTTATATTATTATAGCAGAAATTATTTCTATTGAAATTAAAATTAAAAAAACAGAAAACAAATTTTAAATGAAAGTAAAGATAGGAAATATATAAAATGTTGTGTACACTGAAAAATATTTTGTGACATTATAGTTGTAGAAATATTATTATTAAATGAAAAATATTATATTGAAAAATATAAATGTAAAAAACGAATTTTATAAATGCTCAAAGAGCACAATTAAAATAAATTTGAAAAACTATATTATAGTGAAATAATCTTATTAACTAAAATTGAGATTATTTTAGGAAGACATTGAGAATATTTGTAAATTTGAAACCAAAAATAAAATAACTGAATATAATGACAAAAACACACAAAAGTTAAGAAACAACTATTTGTAGATCAATTAAGTAAAATTATATATAAAAACTTATAACTAAAATTAATATAAATTTAATTGAAATGTATAATAATTAAGTTCATTATGTATAAATTCATAGCAATTAAGTAAATGTTTGTATATGAAATTATAATATAAAATAAATAAGAAAAAATTAGTAAAATAAATTAAATAAAATTAGTAAAATAAATGAAATAAACACAAAAGATTTTACAATATAATTAAATGATTAATAAAATTTCAAATTGACTAAGAAAATAATTTAAGTATAAAGCTATTTCCATATAAAATAATTCGTTACGATAATTTTTAAGAATTAAATAAAAAAAAGGCGAGCTTGTTTTCATTAAAAAAATATATATAAAAATATAAATTTAATACTTTAATAAAACAAAATAATGTACTAATTTAAAAATAATTAATATAAAATTTG